AGTCAGCCTGTCCAGCCCTCAGTTTTCATAAGATGTTCAAGTTCATCATGGACAAGTTCAAGTGACATTGTGATGGTTATAGCCTGCAGTGATTCCTGGGTCCAGACCAAAGAATGCACTGGAGACCTCAGGCCTCCGCGCCCTGTGGTGACCCTATCATAGTTCTTAGACAGTTATATCTTTTCTGCAATACACAACTATCTTCTGAATGAGAGAAATCCCAAACAGATGGCTTTCATCACCCTTTGTTGAAAGATTATTACCATCCCTAAAGCCACTTTCCTCTTCTGTCACGTGGAGCCCCCGTGAATCCTGGCTCAGGCCATGACTGACTGGATGTCTCCATCAGTGTAAGAATACAGATGCACCTGTCCCATCCAAGAACAGCGTTTGGGCTCTCTTTTTACCTCAATTGAGTGAGAAACATATTTTGCCTCTTTCTCAGTAGTAAACACTGTACACCTTATATTCCATGACACCCTATGAGGCACCCCTTTCTCCTCAGGAGCAAGATTTACCCATGTTTCTCCTAAACCTTCCCTTACCAACACCTTCAACAAATGACTGTTCAACTCGTTTCCAGGGACCTAGACAGACCTTTAGACCTTTGCAGGGCTCCTCAAACTACGGCCCGCGGGCCACATGCAAATACAAATATTGTGTTTGTTCCCGTTTTGTTTTTTTACTTCAAAATAAGATATGTGCAGTGTGCATAGGAATTTGTTCATAGTTTTTTTTAAAACTATAGTCCTGCCCTCCAACGGCCTGAGGGACAGTGAACTGGCACCCTGTTTAAAAAGTTTGAGGACCCCGTCTAAAGTGTCCCTGCCAGGCTCAGGGCATCAGCAAAATTTCAACCAAAGGAAGGAAACAGTATTTATTGGGGATGTGGTGGTAGTGATGAGAGCTGTGACAGGGTGGGTGTGAACTTTGCAAACTCCAACTGAAATCTGGTCCTTTCACTCTGGTAAAAACTCAATCGGACATTAGGCCTTCGCACACAGAACACTTCCCTTCCCTTTCTCCTCCATTTACTTGTAAACATGAGAGCTAAAACTTTGTCTTTTTTTTTTCTATTTTTGTGCCTCTGGAACCTACCACAATGCCTGCACATAGTAAGCATTCAGTATACATTCAGTTACTTTTTAAAAAAAAATAAGTCTTATCTCCCAGATAGTTAATTGTGTTATAAACTCAATATTCCCAACTTCCTCCCAACCCCAAGGCTCAGTCCTTGGCATGCCAGGTCCATTTTACTCTGGGAATTCTCCCAGGATTTGTCTCCTGAATCCTCCTCCCCTGTCTCTTTTGTTGCAGCTCCTGTGGGCCCTTCAGAGTACAGACAACCTTATGTCACGGTTCCACACCCCTGTCCTAGGGCCACCGACTCTCACTACTCACCCAACTCAGATTTCACAGAACTGTCTTACCAGCTTGCTTTCCTGAATACCTCTCCCTGGACTGAATCCAAAAGTGACCCCCCTCCAGCCCCTCTTTCCTCTACTCACCTGGGAAAGGAGGTCAGACAGCAGGATCTGTTTCTCTTTGACTTTATCCCTCCATGCTCCCCCCATCACTTCCAAATTTCTCTATTCAGCATGAACTACAGTGAGGTTTATTTTCCTAATCCTTTAAGGCTATAGGAGATCCCAACAATTATTGAGGTCACAGTAGTGACAGAAATAGAAAAGTGAGCTTAAACACCTGTCAAGTTTATAACTTCATCATCAAGATCATAATATCATTTATTAATATCTATCATGCCAGACACTGTGCTGGATGCTTTATAAATATTATCACCAATATTCATGCCCACACACTTAGGTAGATAGCAATAGCTCCATTCAACAAAGAAACAGAGGCACCAAATAATTGCTTCTTTCCCCAGTTGGCAAACTGTGGACCCTGAATTTGAAGCCAGGTCTCTCTCATTTAAAAGTATGGAATGCCTCAATTCCTTTAAAGATGCCCCAGACAGCTCGTTTCCACTAACTACTGACCTTTTGCCTGCTTATTCTATAGCCTTCACTCACTTAGAATTTCAGGCAAGATTGTAAATGAACCTGCCACTCTGCCACTCTCAGAATTTTTTGTACCCAATCCTAGGAGGTGTCACCACTAAATGCCACCAGGCACATCACAATCTGTGGCCACTCTGACCTCCTTGGTGGACCAATGTAGCCAGTCTTTTTTGCCTGAATCCATTTCAGCTCTTTCTTAAGTTGCTGTGAGTGGGGCAACAGACCCTTGGGGCTGGCCAGCTGCAAGTTTAGAGGTAGGGGAACAGGCAGTTTCATGGAATGCTCCCTGAAAAGCTTTCACTACTAGTTCCAGTTCTAGAAAGATTACTGAGTATACGTCATAATTTCCAGCAGATCAGAAGTTAAGCCTGGATTTCTAAATACTAGCTTCTGCATTCTGTTTGCTTTCCTCCAATATGAAGCCAAGTTGCTAGATGAATGCTCCGAGGCAAACTTTGCTACTCCTGGGCTATATAACACTGAGCAATGAACGTAATACTTCTTCCAGATTTCAGTTTTTCTTGCCAGTAAAATGGGAATGATAATGCTTTCCAACACAGGTTTGTCAGCAATGATTAGATTATTTATTATACAGTGCCTGGCATATATTAGCTGCTCAAGCAGGTGCCCTCTCTTCGATAAGCCTGGATAACAAGCTCCCCTTCATCTGTCTTCCTAACGGCACATATTGGATAAATGTAAGTCAGGAGGGATTAACAATCAAGAGGCAAATAGTAGACATGTATTTAGTAAATAATGGCATTTGAATATCATGTTGAGAGAAATTTTGCAGAGAGGAAAAATCTACCCTAGTCTCCTCTTTGTTAAAACCCCTGTTGGCTATCTTCTAAAGAGAGGTTAAATGCTTTATCCCAAGTCTAGAAAGATAAACAGTTTTGTTAAATGAGACCCACTACAGAGAAGACCAACCTGAGTCTGTGAAAGTTAAAAATTAGAAAATAATTCAGAATGAAAACTAGTTTTTGTTCCTGGATACATAAAGAAAATCTAATACAGGAAAGGTCTGGGTAGGTGAGATTCTGCCAGGCATATTTTGTGGCCAAAGAAGAAAGGTTGTTAATTATAAGCACCATGTGCATAAAACTATTGCTATATTTGAGATAGTTTGGGATGTTTGAGAACAGATTGTTTCCATGAAATCACAAACATTTCTCTTACTATCACAATTTTGCACTATTTACATAGCATTCTGGAAGAAACAGAGGTGAACAAAGGTAGACTAAAGTCTGTTTCTAAGATTCATGCTCAAACACTGTGAGTTTGTTGGGTTGGAGTTTGTGACATCTCTTCTTTGACCTTCCCTTAATGAATGTGACCATTGCTAAGGCACTCCTCCATCCCTTCACAAAATATTTCCAGATTGTTCTTTTGTTTTTGAAGATGATCCTGTTTCTCTGTTCCTTCTTATTATCACATTGACACTTTCTTTGAAATTATTTTAATTCCTTTTTTAAAAAAGAATTATGATTATGAAGGACAACTCAACAGAGGGAGAAATCACCCATGGAATAAGAAACACTTAATCCTAGCCAGTGCTGCGTGGGAGTGGGGGAAGAGAAGCTAATAATTGTTTCAGTCCATTTCCGAGCACAGTTGTAAAAACATATCCCATCTTTATTTTTCAATTTGTTTTAGTTTTATTTCCTAAGAAGGGACTTTGGTCTTGCAAAATTTTAAGTTTATTCATTTTTTTAGCTCTACAAGTACAAATAAGAGACAGAAAGTTTTTGTTAGGTACAAGCAGGACTTTGGGACAAATATCCTTTGTGCTGTTTGGTAACACAACTCTTTTATTTGTTGCAATCTTTCTCCTTATGTCTAATTTTTCCCACGGTCGTAGATCTTACTAATATAATGGTTAAAATGATTTAACTCAAATTTTTATTCCCCCCAAACTTAAACAAGCCATCATCATTGAGCTATAATCAGACAAGTTATGGAAATTTTAAAGGCAGACAGAAGTTGTAATGTTTTTAGATAGAGGGTAGAGAGACTTATATGTTCTTACTTCTAATGGTTGATATTACAAAAACTTCTTAATTATACTGGTAATTTAAAAAATATTTGCCATATGAGAATATTTAAGTGGTTTTAGTTCCAGGATTAAAAGTGAAAATCTCTGAGGTTGACCTAAACAAATTCTTATTTACCAAATGTGGGCAAATTTCTTGCATGTGACTGTTTGAGGCAGTGACGGCCATGAGAATTCTCATTCTAAGTCTGCTCTTCTCTACTATGAGCCTCCTTTCTGGGTGGTCCATGTGGCTGGTCACTCTTAGTGATCTTTGAAGCATGGTATTCCTTCCCACAACTTGTCTCAATACTCAGACATCAGTTGCATAGGTTGCCTGTGCAAAAATCATACAATATGCTCCAAATAAGAGTGATTTGGATAATCAATGTAAAAATGACAATTGATCAAATTGCCATTTATCTTCTGAAAGCATCTCTATATATAAAAGCCTAAGTGACCAGCCGACCGACCAACTGACCACCAGAGGAGCAGATGCTCAACGCAGGAGCTGCTGAACAACAGCAACTTTGCAGAGTGCCCTCTTGCACTTCGGGACCTCTCTGGGGATGTTAGACTGCCGGTTTCAGCCTGATCCCCGCAGGCCAGGCTGAGGGAGCCTGCCAGTGCATGAATCTGTGCACTGGGCCTCTAGTTTTTACATAAACATAGAAGATGAAGAAAGACTTGGACTACAAGGCCAATGACCAACGATTTCATCAGGAAACTGTGAAGAGCCCCTCAAGGAGTACATTTCACTGCTCAACCATATTTCTTACATTGCCTCATTCCTTTCTTCTTTATTACTGGCGGAGGTACAAAGTG